ACATGAATGAGTCGGAAAACAACAGGACTTTCGAACCGTTGGACGGTGTTGTCGGCCGCATCGTTGGAAGAAGGAGAGGCGGTGCGCCCGTCCCTAGGGTCACCTCCTCGATGGGGACAACCATGTCGGGATCATGTTCGTCGCCGTTGGTGAAGGCAGTTTCTTGGAGGTTATCATCAACATGTGGGCTGACCATGTTCGATGGAAGTTGAGATGTGCTTTGGTTATTCGATTTCTAAAGAAGAAAGAATGGGGAAGCAAGAGTTTCCCACAAGACGACGCCACTGATGTTACCAGACCAAAAAGAGATCAGCAGCTAGCAACGCGTCGTGAGCTCCAAGATTGCCGGTAGTAGAGAAGAGAAGGGGGTGTACCTGCAAGACACTCTGATGTCAAAGTGAGAAAAGGGAGAGAGTGAACAAGTACTAAAGCAAGTGAGTTTTGAATACCTGACCCTCTAGTGAAAGAGGGTATTTATAATATGCCCCCAGCGCTGAACCAACGATTATTTACATTGGGTTGGATCATTCGGTCCAATACGAATAACTTCCAGGATCTACGTAGCATGGGGAAGACCAGCACATGGTATTCATCCTGGTCTAACTGGCCCGTGAACTTCGGAAGGTGGAGGATCTGTTCTCTCAGATGCGGGTAGTTGGCTGATAATGTGTCCCCACGTGGGGAGCACGTGGAGACCATGGGGGAGACGCGTGAGAGCTTCCTGTGTGAGATGATAAATTGAGCCTTTATTGGCCCCTCCCTAACAAAGGGTTGGGTTGGGCTGTGCCCGACGGTGGGGCAACCTCTGGCCCAGTCCAAAATATACCATTTGTTAGTCTAAAATGAATGTGTATGAGATGCAATCATTTCTACCTCCTAGGTCACCAATCAGGAGCTCCAAAAACCATGTCCAGCTATCCCTATTTTCACCCTCCACAACTGCAAATGCTATAGGAAGCATTTGATCATTAGGATCTCTGCCTATGGCTTCCAAAATTTATCTTCCACAAAGCCCCTTCAAAAAGCATTCATCCAGACCTATGACATGTCTACATAATTTGAAGTTCTCCTTACATGCTGCATAGCATATATACAACCGTCTAAAAGAGGGTCTTTTATCCTCAACACCTTCTTGAACATGTTTAACATTTAGCTATTGGCCCTGGATTAACTCTTAATAATTCATGACAATAATCATAAATTCTAGTGTGATACCCTAAGAAAAATCCATCAACCATGTGCCTAGCAACAAGTATTGCTCTGATTGTTTTAGTCTTGTTTACCCCTACATTTCCTTATATCCTTTACCTTCATCCTATGATTGATTTTCAAGAAATTATAAATTCTCTTGCTCAACCACCATGTACTCATCATCTTTACATTATACTCTCTACTACAATTATATTTGTCATTTACCTTCCTTACTTGCCAAGATTCCTCATTTGCCAACTTGACACAATAGACCTCCCACTCACAATCATATTTACATCTCACCCTCACCCTTTTTTTTGGTCATTTTTTTTAAACTTTGGGTCTCTACCATTTTAACCATATGAGGTTATCCTTTCCTAATATCACTTTTTGAAGTAAAATACACTCCTAGTTCCCATTTGTAACTGAACATATCCTTCTTTAACTTGAAAATTGAGTACTTCTTCCTTTTAGCTCCACTACTATCATCACTCTCACAACCACTTTGCAGATCTTCAATGTCATTACCACTCCCTTTAAATTCTTCTTTATCTTCTTCCCACTTTTCTTTCCCTTTTCCTTTTACATCACTTTCATATTCAATCAGATCAGCAAGCTCTCCATGTCATGATACCCATCAGAGTCATCCTCAAAAGCTACTTCAAGAGAACTATCATACTGGTAGTCGTCATCCTCACTGTCATCAGAAATGTACTCCTCATGTACCTCACCAACATTGTCTAATTTCACTCTAACATTGACATCCTTCACTCCAACGTTATTTGATTCCACCCCAACATCGGTTGATTCCACTCCCACATTGGTTGAGTCCACTTTAACATTTCCATCCTTCAATCCGACATTATCTTCTTCCACACTAGCATTACCATCATTCAACTTATCTACAATCTCATCATGTAGTTTATTAAGTAACTATTCCACCTCATCTATAAACTTATCAGGCCCCTCATCAACATTATCAACAACATCATCACAATAATCAGGCTGAGACAAAGTGTGTCAAATGTAGATATCAACACTTTGGTGCACCCTGTAAAGATCTGTAATTTCTAAAGTCATCAAGAAGGGCATTCATCCCAAATGTAGGGTCCTTGTGATATATTGTCTCAAAGTCCATATAACCTAACTCCTTCAATACACCAACTAACTCAAAATAATTTCACTTATCAATATCTACTTTTGAATCATCTACTAGTCCTTCTTCATACACATTTAGTTCAGGATCAATGAATTCACCATTATGATGAATTTTAAATTTCAAAAATTCATCCATTATCGATGTTCAAATAGATTTCGTCAAAGTCTTAGAACATGAAAAGTCCTAAATATACTAAAAGCCCTAAATGTACACAAATCTCTAAATCTACAGGAATCCCTAAATTTTGCCTTTACAAAAACATGCAAATAATACTGACTTTCGAAACTTCGTCTTCAAGGCTTCACTTCCTTGATTTCGCCAGAATGTGCACCTTCAAACGCCGATTCAATCGTTTCTTCAAAATAGCCTTCGTGTAACTTCAGCTTAGGGTTCCTTTGTTTTGAACAACAACAAAACGTTTTGGTTGCCACATCATTAGGTAACATGCTACTTGGAAGTTTTTTTTTTGTCTTTGACTAACGTCCACTAACAGAAGGACAAACGTGACAATGTTTCAAAAGTTAAAGGACAAAGGTGACACAAAAGAAAAAATTAAAGGACTAATATGAATTTAAATGTATAGTTAAGAGATCAAAAATATTATTTTTTCTGTTTAAAAAAAAAAATTGAAGATAAAACAAAACAAAACAAACAAAATTTAAAAAAAATATGAACTACCAAATTTTCTATTTTATTTTTTAAAATTCTAAAATAATTATGTATTTTTTGAAAAATCTAGTGCGCGACAAGTTCTAGCGGTTTTTCAAAAAATTCAAAAATGAAACCATTCAAAATATTTTAGCGGTTTTTCAAAAAAAATGACCTACTAAATTTTTTAAAACTCCGAATATAATCATATAACTACCAATATTTTCGAAAAAAAATACGGTATTGTATTGACATTTTTACTAGCAATTTCAAAAGTATTGTATTTTTTTCAAAAATATTGGTAGTATTGTATTTTTTCAAAAATATTGGTAAACATGCATGTAGTAAAATAATTTTTTATTGAAAATTTTGATATTACCAATAGAAAAACCTAGTTATCTTAAAAAATCCAGTATAAATTCAAAATTGTCTGACATAATACATAAATTTAATAGAAAAACATTACTTGTAAATATTTGATAAAAACTTAAAAAATACAAAGAAAAAAAATCAACATCTGTAAAAAAAAAATACATCAGTAACGAATTAAAATTTTTTTAGTTTATATGGACAAGATCATAATATTTCTACCAATAAAAAGTTGAAACATTATATAATTATATTAATATAATATACGTAAAATTTTATAATTATAATTGCATATTTAATATTAAGATTATAAAAATATTAAATAGTTTTTAGTGGTGGATATACATAATTTTTTTGTAAATAAAAAATAAAATTATTAGAAAGTATATAACAAACCATTTAACTTTGTGGGGCATCTGCCCCAATATCACATCATTTACATGAATTTATGCCGGTGAGAATATTATGAAAAAGAGTGGCAACAATTGGGGCGTAAGATATAACTAATTTGGGTGCCTGATAATTCCTCTAACTACATGTAAAAACAATTTATAAAATCTCAAATTGGATTTAATGTGATTTTAAAAAGTACACCGAAAGTAGGAACACGTTAAAAAATCTTCAGTGTATAAGTGTGTTTTTCACCATTCAATCAATAAATTTCATCACATCTTATTTGATATGATTCAGTAGTAGACTTTATTGATCCAATACTTGATTTTCTACTTATGCAACTAAGATTTTCTATATTTAATGTTAAGTGATATTTATCCTTATTTATGATCTGATATCGTAGAATCAAAGGTTTAAAAAATTATGTTTCCTTATTAGTAAAGCGTCGAATGGTCAATTAACCAACCAATTTGGAGGACTAGGGGAGTTTGCTTTATTTCATTCAATTTCCCATTAAGAAGACGTCATCTTCAAAACCTAAATTCTCAAATGGGAAATTTATGAAGCACATATTCCCGCAGTCTTCTACCCTTGAATTCACTAATGAATCAAAAGGGACAATTCATTTGTGTTAATGGTTGAATTTAATGAACCCAAAGGATTGGTCGAGTTTATTGATTGTGTGAATGTGTGCTGCGTGCAATCTAAATCCTAGCCAAGCTCAGAATGTGTGCTGCATGCAATCTAAATCCTAGCCAAGCTCAATGAGCTTAGCTCAAGGACAGTAAACAGTCGAATTTAAAATATTATCAGCAACACGCAGAGAAAGAGCCACGGGAAATTATATCGATTCCCATTAGAAGCAAAGGAAACAGAGTCCTATATGATAGTTTATTTTAAAAAGATAACTTACCATGCCTTAGCATGTAAAAGCATCAATCCTAACTACCCATTTCTCACACTCCCATATGATTCTCCAGTCAACAAGTCAGCTTTACAGGTCGAAACTCCCTCTCTCCTCAACAAGACTACTATTGATGTTTAGCAGTCACAGTAATGAGCCATTGACCCAACTAAATTTTTTCTACACTGAAGCACAAACCTCATCACACAAACCATGAGTACATGCTTCACTAGAGACAACACCAGTACTTTCATAAGCCATTTCCTCTTCTTCACTTTTTACATATATAAAAAAACTTGAAATTTGATCACAATATGATCAAAAGGTGCCCTTAAATTAGGTAGATGCCCATTCAAAGTAATGGCAGCGAGCACCTCTAGTTGTAGTCCAATTTCCACATCCAAAGAAAAGGCTCCCTTGCTTAGGCCCTGGCTTTCTGATCATGCCCCTACTACTTTTCACCCCACAATAACAGCAAGGGTGATACTGAATGACTGGAACTGGGGTATTCATATGAATCACATCCCTTGATTTGTAGGGGCAATGAGGGTGAGCACTTTGCTGTTCTTGAGACTGCTTCCAGATCAGTGATCGATCGGCCGTCTGCCACAGAATGGAGTTGGTAATGGAAAACTTAAAACCTCTGTGCATTAGCAGTGCCAGCAGGCGAGCAGTATTTTTGGCATCATCCAAGCCACAATGAGGACGACCCTGCCAGGCCAAGCCGGCTATCTCAACAGCCTCCTTTAGATTGCACTTCACATCACCAAATACCTCGCTGAAAGGAATCCTCAAGTTGATCCAGCTAACATAAGTTAAACAAAAACAAAAGTCAGTTCTGAAATGATGCCTTGATAAACATAGGTTACATTTACACTGCAGCATTTACCGGTTGAAATAAGGTGGCTTTCGTATTTTCTTGAAACGGCACTCTGATTCAAGCATCACACGACAATCCCAGCTAGACCATGTAACCACAGCAAAGTTGGCATTCTTTATTCCCTTTTTCTCAAGCCATTTGTCATGCCTAAGTAGAGCCTCACTCAATGTAACACCTCTGTCTACCTGAACAATATATAGTAAGAAATACAATTAGCAACCTTCACCCACAGGCAAGAACAATGTAATGTAATAGCTGACAATCGACACATAGGTTAATAACATACAAAATAAATCATAGAAATATTTCTCTCATTCAAGTGGAGGTTCTTTATTTATGCCCATGTATTAACCGTGTTAACCTCAAAGGATATTAATCATCCAATCAGACCGCACACACACAAAGCTGATCCCAGGAGCAGAGCCAGACAATTATCTTAGCAAGGACTAAAATAAAAAAAGCAATATTTTTGAAAACGAGATATAAGAAGGTTTGCGCAACCTTGGGATACACTACCATAATGAGTAACTTTCATGATGCAATTATTTATTTTATAATGCAATTTCAAATAGGTGGGCATATATGCATTGATCTTTAGTTATAGATTTTAAATTTTGTAGATAGGCTAAAGCCCCTGAACAATACACTAGTCTGCCCCCTGGTTGATCTAGAAGATGCAAGGATACAAAATTATATGAAAATCAATCGCAAAACTATACTGAACCAAAACCCAGTGAGTACTTAGTATTGACCGAAAGGGAGGGAATAAAATCCTCTTCATTTCTCCAATTTACAGACCCACATAATATGAATTTCTGCCCAACATCCTTTTATCAATATCTTTTTAACATCCATATTATTAGAGAAATAACAGTATATGCTCAAAATAAATATTACACTTTTTTTTTGGCAATCATAATTGACCGTACATCATACCACAGTTTTGATATTCACTTGATAATATTAATAACGTGTTATTCACTTGATATAAAAGACGAAACACTAATCACTATTTATAAGGATACATAGACTCAATCCTAAACAATAATCTAAGATATGCTAAGAATGAAAACTAATCCTAGAAGGTAAACCAAGATATTCTGCAACATTATTTTATAGCCTGTAACAAGAAAAGAATGCATTACGACACAGATAAATATTAAATAGAAAAGCAAAGAAAAAATTGAGCTCCACCACCAATAAAGGTTGGGAAGACAACTCAGGAATGTTGGACAAGCCTAAGAAAAATTACTATTAATGATGGCTTGGTCAAATAGTTGGAATGATCATCAGGATGAGACAAATTCATTACAACTTACAAGCAATCAAACAAAGAAAGGTCCATCCTTCTCAAAATTGCACTTGGAAGCTTCAAACCAACAAAGACCCTAAAGATGAGGTCAGTACATCAGGGATAGAGATAAGGCTAGTGCATCTCAGAAGAAAGCTGGGTCCGGTGCATGTCTGACAAAAGTTGGGGCCAGTGCATCTGTGGAAGAAAGCTGAGGCCAGAGCATCAGGGACGGAAAGGGGGCAGAACAGTGCTCAGAAACACTCACAACTCACAAGACAAAGCAGCAACAAAAAAAGGAGGCACTAAATTGAAGCTGTAACAACAGGAAGTCATGATCGGACAAAGGAGAGAGAAAATGCTACAGAAACAGCAGAGATAAGGAGTTACTTTCACTGGAGCGTAGATACCTACGGCCTGAAACAGAAATTTGAGATTGAATCAACAGGAAGAACGTAGCGACGATAATCAAAAGGAAGGCGGGAAAGGTAGATAGATCCACTGCCCTGTAATAATCTGGATGTTGAGATTATAAGATTTAGGTGAATTTTCGGGGGTTTGGCGGTCTTGAGGAGGCGATTATAATAGTGGCACTCTTTGCCTGAAAGGTCAACAAAAGAGTGGTGGCGGATGACGGTGATGGTCCCTAAAAGTGACATCAATCGAAAAAGAGAAGACCATGTCAAAAGATCACATTCCCAACATTTGGAAACTTGGCAACGTAATAGTGACAAGACAAATCACAGAAGATCAAATCAAGTTAGGATACAGTGTTGAATTTGTGGGTTTTTAGATAAAAGGAGCAGAAAAATTAACAACTCGGTTGATAATAATCTCTACTTATGGCTATCAATGGGGAAGAAGCATACCACTTAAATACTCCATAATACCTAAGTATCTATCAACTTCATCCAAGATAGGTTCAAAAGAAGTAGAGCTAGGTTAGAGTGGGATCAACCATCACAAAAAAACAAGGGGTTATTGATGAATAGTGGCAAGGAAAAGTAACAAGAGGCCTCGGTTTTGCATCGGGACATGTATGAAGGTAAGCATTTTAAGCTTTGATGGTAAAAAAAAAGCAAAAGATGAAGGAGGCACTGTATAAAGGGTGTAAAGAGAGGATGTTGGGAGTAACAAGGCCACCAGTTATCCTTAAATAAAATGGAAGGCTTCACACTTCATGTCCTGAAGCTACTTGTGGAGATCACTAACTCCTATTTTGTCGAAGTAGTAAACGACCACAAGGTGAAGAGACAGGAAAATAAATTTAAGATTTTAAGAATTTTCTTATTTCATCCTACTAGTAGATCTTTCATGATGATAAGTAAACACTTAAGTTTGAGACCTTTGCTAGTGGGATTTTATATTATATTCTAACTACAAAATTTTCACCTTCAAGACAAGGTTAATGAGTATAGGGAATCAAGAGTGAGGTGGTCTACCATAAATAAGAGGAAAGGAAGATTTGTGAGGTCATCTATGGTTTTGGAAAGAAATTTAGGGCACGAATGAATCAGGCTTCTCAAATACCTCTTATGTTATAGAAATTTTCAATCCATAAACAATATTTTTTCGGCATTCAAAACAAGTTGCTATGAGGTGTGATCTTCTAATGAATATTTTACATATTATGAGCGTTAGATTCTTTGGACTAGCTAGACACATAATTTTACCTCAATCCTTCTAACTCAATATGGTATAAGGAGTCACACATTACGGTTTGATCCCTCAGTTGTCAAATAGTAGTGGTGCTGTAGCGTAGCAAAATTTGAACAGACCGTTATTGTTCTGCAATACGCTCTTTAGTACAAAGTATTGTCAAATACCAGCTAAAGCAATCTAACACATTGGAATTGGAACAAACCGCTATTTTCCACAATCCATGATTGACAATATTGGATCCTCTAACTGAGCGCTAACCAATTGTGCTTCTTCCCCGTTATCATATGCACCAACCTCTAGCTGGTGTTACCCTCTGACAGAAGCAATTCCGACAGTCTCAAATCAGCAGCAAAGCTTCCAGATCAGCTCACTGCTTCACCCACATCAGACCCACTATCATCAACAGTCCTATGCACACCTTTGTCCTTTGTGTCTTTTACATACTCTATGCATACAAGTGTGTTACGTTTGAGATCCTCTTCCATGGGAAGCTAAATCCCAACATCAAACTCATAAGTTATCTTTTTCACTTTATTCTAATAGCCACAGACACAAACAAAACCCACTATACTCCCTTCATCTCCTACTCCGCCAAACTCTCTGGCTCTACCTCCTCCTTTGCTAAAATTTCCCGTAGTTAACACAAACATATATGGTAAATCAGTCACTTAATACTCTTTACACCAGTCATTTTGTCATCATTTACCCACAGCTACAAGTGAAGCCCTATTTTAATTCCAGAAGGAGACAAGCTAATGTTAATAAACGGTTGCTTAAAATTCTAGCATTATCCTATACTGTTTGTCAATAGGTCTGTATTATTGAGATTGGCCCCAAAAAAGAAGTTGATGGCCTAAGAGTTCACTTGTCTCTTATGGCCAATGTTGCTTTTGTTTTCTTAATTGTTCGTGCTTCTATTCATCAATGGTCATTTAATAAGTTAGTCATAAAGAATGCTTTTCAACATGGTGAGTTATAAAAGGTCTATATGCAACTACAATTTTTACTTCATATGAAGCATCAACATAGGATGCCAACCATGCTGCACCCTTAAGTATGGACAAAAAAACAACCACCTGTATTTGGTTTGGGAGGTTTTGTACTATCAAAGTCAATGTCACCTAGTTATTTATGTTCAGAACAGCATTATCAGGAAAAAATGATTAGGCTGGCATCTAGTCTAGAATCTAAAGCAATACATTTCACACCACAATCAAACAAGACCTGGGCCTATCAAATACTTTTTAGGGATTGCGGTTTTGAAGAAAATGTTGTTATTGCCAACACTCAAAGTATGTTTTACATACACTTTATGAAACAGGCATTAACAACAACAACCACCAAGCCTTTTCTCACTGAGTGGGGTAGGGTTCATGGATCAAACTACCCATAATGTTCTATCAAAAACCATGCTTCTATCCAACTCTTAGATCCTTCTCTATAGTTTTTGTTATAGTTTTTCTAGGTCTTCCTCTATCTCAAGCGGTTTGACTACCATCCATCTACTCTCCTTACTACAAAATCCACATGTCTTCTCTGTGCATTTCCAAACCACCTAGGCCCAGATTCCACCATATTTTTCTAGTAAAGATGCTACCCAAACACTATCTGGGAATTTAACAAAAAATCAAATGATGGAAAGATGCGAAAAGACATAGAAACATATGTTAGGACAGCTTCCTGTGTGATTGAAAGATGAGAGGCAGGAGACAAATTCAAATAAGCAAGTGAAACAACCTTGCCCTGGGATGCAACAGAAGGGCAGTTTCGAAGATGGAATGCAAGGAGAAAGTTCCTAGGCTGTTTACTGCAGCAGCGGAATGCTCTGCAGCATGTTTTTGTTTTCCGTAAGTTACTTCCCAACGAAATCCGTTGTTCTCCATTTGCTGGAAAACACCATTCAAGCACCTTAAGTATTCTCTTCTCTGTGGCTTTCAAACAAGGCAATGAATAATTAAGGGGATAAAATAAGTGAAAGGACAAAAAGCCATGTCACTTTTGGCTTATTCCAGCTTGTTTTAGACTAATTGGCTCGGTCACCCATTCACAAATAAGAGAAGGCCCAATTGATTCTAGCAAAATCTACCAGAGTTTGGTGCGAGTCTGAGTTTTGATGAAGTACAAGTCTCTAACGTTACAATGTTTTCCCCACCTAGAAACTTAAAGTCAGATGCGTTACGAGTCAACTTGCAAGTCTGACAATAATGCTCCTGCCAAGTTATGGAGGTTTAATGATAGACCTTAGTTAACCAAAAAGGGTTAATTTATAAAATCAGCACAAGTTGTTGTCTATCCTAATGCTGGTTGGGCAAGTATAGCATCTAATTTAATAGAAGATTAATTTAAGCATGGTGTGTCTTTGTTGAAGGTTAATTGATGCTGGTTGTTACTATATTGAGAGCAAAGGAGAGTATTGTGCTATGGCAAATTGGCAATAGGCACCTATAAGCTTATATGGCTAAACAATTGCTTCAGCAACACAAATCGGGAGATGTTAAGGAAATGAAATGGACTGGTGACAACCAAATAGCTTTGCATATTGCCTCTTCCCCAGTCACTAACGAAGAACCGAACAAATAGAGATTACCAGTTATTTTGTTAGGAAATGAAAGGATTCTTTCAAGCAATATCACTATTGGTTTGGTGCTGCAAACTTACACAAACACTTAGCTTGTATATTTACTAAATCTCTTGGATGACCTAAGGTTGATTCTTTTTTGTAACAATCTGGTTCATATGACATATATGCTCCTGCTCAGGGAGAGCATTACTTCAGGAATAGTGCCGGTTTTCTATAACACAGGAAATTGTTCCTATAGTAATTAATAGATATAGATAGATATATAGTAATACTATATATAGTATGATAGTTACCTATATGGAGTGAAAAGACACAATTCTATACAAGTCAAATCTTAACAAACCTGTTATTATACAAACAATCCCAAATAAGCATTAATGGTTACTGAGATGGGTGGCATGCAAAAACTTACATACACATGCAAAGGAAGTTACCATATACAATTACAAATATTATAGAAATCCAGATGTTTGATATGCACATAGCACTGTACTAATTAGTTCAATAATAAGGACAAAATGAAGAGTTAGCCGAATCATAGAATAAAGGTGCATAAAAGTTTATCTTGCTCTTTTCGTATCAATTTCTTTACAGAAGTGAAGGCAAAACTTTTGCAATTAACATACCTGAATTTGCTGGATACCAGTTAGATCCTTGCAGAAGTCACTCAGAAGCTGATTGCAGGTAGGCTTCACATATGTTTGGAAACATGCTTCCAGCTGACCAGTAACACTACTCACTATGACAGATGGAAACTCAATTATTTCTTGAGGATGGGGATTTTTATCCTTATCACAGGTAGCCTCAAAGTCTATGACCACAAAATACTGAAATTCTTGAAATTGCTCACGCGAGTAACCCTGAGATAACATATTAATTGGAGCACACTGGAGTTGGTTCTCGACAGGATAAGGATAAAAGTGGCTCTCAAAAGCATTCATTTGACACTGCTGCAGCTTGTGAGGATTAAAATGGCAGGCTGTCCAGGCACTGTAATCATGGTGATAAGCAGGTTTACTATGAAATTCATTGGAGTGCTCAAGAAACTCACTGCCTAAACGACGGTTAGATTCAGGAACATTCCCAGCTGAATGAGTACCAGGCTCATTTGTAAGCTCCGGAAATCCTTCCATAGAACTCCCACTACACTGAAAAGTGAAAGGGGGTCCCTTTCCCTGAAGGCACTTTAGAGATGCCTCACAGGACATTTGCATATTTTCTGCACAAAAATAAAGAAACACAATCATACAAGGCCAGTATAAATCTGAAAAAATCATACATCTACAGTATATAGTCAGAAACTAAAAAACTATTAGCACAAAAAGACAACAGATGTATTCTGTAATCAAGTTTCCCCAAAAGGACTGGATTGCTGACAAAATGGAACAATGTACCAGCTTCTCAAGATAGATGACAGATGACAAACTATTTAGTTTTCAATTATTTAAATAACAACACTATATGGCACAACAAACTGCTTGCACAAATTGAACAAATGTGTGAAACCTCAGACATTTCGAATTTATCTCTAGCTTGTGGATATAGTTAAATAAAAGAAATAATAGATTAAAACCAAAATCAAAATCAATGTGTCATCGAAAATAGAAGAAAACAAAATCAAAATCAAAATCAAGCACTTTTTTCTTCTTAATTCTCTCTCCACTTGAAAGGTGAAACTGATTTACTTTGTTGGTAGTTTCTTATTGCTTGCCCTTGATTACGGCAAGCAATAAGAAAGAAACTTAAAAAGATAAAAAGAACCGACCACAGAAAAAGAATCTGACTATTGACAGGTAAACTCTCCATCATGTCGTCGATGGCGGATGGCGGTCCATGGCAGAGAGCCAAAATCTGACCATATGAGAGTGGCACCGTTATAGTGGATTATGGCGGAAAAACCCACAATATCAACTGACATTTACTATTGTGAGCCCAAAATAAGTGCAAATTACTCTGTTTTAAATTTGTATTACAGTAAACTACTCTGTTTTAAATTTGAACACTTATCAAGCAAACACTCCATGGTGGTCTCTACAATACACACGCACACTCCCATCACATTTGGCTCCATCACATCACCAAATTCAAAACCTCACTCTTTCTCCCAGGTGTTACCCTCTTCCCAACCTCACTCCCACACCATTAACATGTCAAATCCCAACATCTCATACAAAATAATAGGTAAAACTAAAACCCGCCACTCCTCACAACCAAAACAAAGTGTAACCACTACTCATTCAAAACCCAATCCCCACACACATTGTTCCGAACCACATAAAATCAGCGATCAAACCAAAACAGAACAACCACAAAGCAAACACACTCTAACCCCAATTTCCACATAATTGCAAACCGCACGCACACTTGCACCCATAATCAAAACCACGAATTAATAAAAAAAACAGTTTAATTTTTTATCCCATTCTTCAAAACCAAAACCGAATTGAATAAAATCAAATCAAACAAAAAACAAACAATTTTTAAAAACTAACCTGAATTCTCAAGGGCCATCATGATCGTGAATGTAATTGAGATCCACAGGCGAGTACATGAGATCCTCGAGTACAACAAAAATCCTCCCTAAACAACAAATTTCCAAAACCACAATCAAAATCAAACCAACTCAAAACCATAATCAAAATCACCGAGAAAGCGTAAGAAAACGGAAAAGAAAACGCAACAGAAAGAAAGAAAAAAAACGAACAACCTCGAAAACGTAGAGAGAAAGAGAACCTATAGAGAGAGAGAGAGAGAGAGAGAGGGGTTAGAGTGAAATTACCTATGGCAATTTTATAAGCAAGTTCTCTTCTTTCTCTTCTTGTAATGTAATTTTCACGATATAGTTAAAAGCACACGAAGAGGAAGAGTGGGGCCCACGCAACAGTGAAAAATTAAATTAAAATATAAAAAAATACGATATGCATGAAAAATAAAACTGTATTGGACGGAGAGGGACACGTGTCGGGCGTGAGAGGGGGAGTTACTAGTACTAGTGATAGTTTTCAAGTGTTTTGGGTAATACGTGAGATATTTTTGTGTTGGTTTTGTGTGTGACTGCGACCACCGCTTAACGGTTGTACATTGTTTTCCGCCGTTGGATTGGTTTTGAGGTTTCATCATCGGTTTCTTTTTAATTACGCTTTATCTGTGGGCCAGTAGGGTTTTGATAATATACGACGTTAACCGGATTAATCATTATTTACTTTTATAATATAGCCGCGTTATAATCTAATCAAATCAATAATATATTAGTAATGTTTTTTTTAATCGTATATATTAAAAGCACTAATATATGATATATGTTAATAAATTAATAAATATAATAGAGTAAATAAAAATTATAAATAGATATTATTAATTTAGCCTTGTTTAAGGATGGAGTATTTTATGGAATTGATACGCATCTAGTTGGAATATTCTTTTATAATTTTTACTTTTTCTATTCTTTCATATCTATTAATACATGATTTTTTAAGTGTCATAAATTTAAATGTTTTTATAGTTTTTCTAACTTTTTTTAATTTAAAATATTAATATATAATCTAGTTAAATAAGTTTAGTTGGTTGTTATGCTTCGGATACAAGGGTATATATTCCAACTCACAACTTCCTATTTAATCACCTTGTAAAATTTTAACCACCAAAACTATTCGAAAATATATATATATATATATATATATATATATATATATATATATATATATATATATATATATATATATATATATATATATATATATATATATATATATATATATATATATATATATATATATATATATATATATATATATATATATATATATATATATATATATATATATATATATATATATATATATATATATATATATATATATATATATATATATATATATATATATAATTTCATGTGATACTTTTTTGCATCTGTATTTTGTTTTCGGAGTTCATTTTGATTCTATAAATATGTTTGGATTGATAGAATTCGACGGAATTGAGCGGAATAGAATGGAATAATGTTATATTGCATCGCTTGGATTGGAAAAAAGAGGATGGAATAGAGCAGAACATGATGGAATGCATTTCATTCAATTCTATTACTAACACTCATTTTTGTTCCATCCAATTTGGACGGAATAACATTTTTTTACTGCATTTCATCCTAAAATATCCAAATAATGGAATGAGATATCGATTCTACTCCGCTCCATTTCACTCTGTTTTATTCCGCTTCACACAGTTCATTTTGAAATATCCAAAAATAGTCTATAACTTTAAAATATTCATTTGGGTATTCATATTTTCAAAACATATCACATTAGTAATTTTTGTCTAATATGTTTGTCAAAGTTAATGAAGTATTTATGTGACACTGATGTAGAATTCAACATGTATGATAACTAGACTACCATTTTTTCGTGACCAAATTTGTCACAATTAATTTTATGTGTCATTTCATCAAACATACATTTCTTACATTGCATTTTTTTTAGATTACATCACTTCTAAGATCATTGTTAACAATTACTCCCTTCATTATCTTTTATAAACAAATTTTGACTTTTAAATTTGTAGCTTACGAGTTATAAGTTAGTGTTGTAGCAAATTCTGTCAAAGTCGAAGAGCCTTGTCGAAGTCGAAGATGAACATGCTATTGTCGAAGTCTGCTCTTGCATGCAGAATATGTTAGTTTGTTATTTCTTTAGCATGTTTAATTGGGTCAGCCTATTTGTCATACCCCAAATTTATTCTACCTGTGCACAACCTTCATTTTTGTAACCATTACCCAGAAAATTAAGATATGTTGATCCTGCTCAAGGTATCACTAGGATGAATCAAATTTCAAGCAAAACTGTCAAGTTAGGTGTATATGTAGTATGAACTAAGGTATAAGGGTTCTGACTTAATCATTCAGTTAGACAAAGTTTATTTCAAGATCAAAGCCATGGTTTGTAGTAATTCAAAGCTCTAGTTAAAGGTTTGTGTGCCAAGTCAGGTCGCTTATGAATAAACCAAGTTTTCAGGTTGTGACAAAATCACAGTCACGTGATCACAAATCATATTCTCTTTCACTAGGTTCATGAGTGTACAAGTGGCAAGGTTCTAAGGCATTTGAAGATCCAGATAGTTCCATGATTCAAATTTTCAAGTTGTGTTTCAAGGCCGTTGGAATTTGGTCCCTGGTGCATTTATGAATCCGATTAAGGTGTAATATTGAATCAAGATTCGATATTGGTTCACTTAATTTTAGTGATTGCAAGGCGCATCGTATGCGATTTGGATTCAATTGGTATTTTGGTTTATCATCATGAAGAATATTAATACAAACCATTACCAATTCGAGATCGAAATTCAAAGTATGGTTTATGACCATTCCAAAGTGCAAGAATCAAATGGAGGATGTAAATGGTGTTCAAAGCTTATTTATTTATTTTTTACAAGCCCAAAGACTCATTATCATGTAACAACGTTATTATACAATCCATAAAAGTAAAAAATTTACAAAAAAACACAGCAATAAGCCCATTACACTTTTTCTTTTTTCCAAAAAAATTGTTAGAAACAAATTCAAGAAAAAATGAAACAAGTTATAGCCAAGGCCACATGGGGCACCAAATCCCAAACGAGCAGGGCAACGATCCAAATTGAAAGGGATATGTTCACGTCGAGCTTCAAAAATGCAACAATAGCATTTTTCATGAGGTTCCCTATTCCACCATTCACTCTCTTACATAAGGCAGGAAATTCATCTTCATAAGAGTGGGGGGAATCGACCGAAGGATTGGCCCCAACTTCCTCAAAACCCTTTTTGACTTTCCTTCAACAACAAGACCTTCCGCCCTTTTCAAAACAACAACCCGACGATAAGATATTCACTCCAAAACCCCCTTCTTCGTCTTCCACTTTCAAACCCTTTCAACTTTCACAAACCAAAACCTCAATCCATATCCTTCTCAAACAAAAGTTAGAAACCAAGAAGGTTGAGACGAAGAAAACTAAAGACAGATCGTAAAACAAAAAAAAAGATGAAGAAGAATGATTGAATGATGAAAACAAATAGGAACCGAGCCTAGAGTGGAATCGAACATAGACGAGCTCAAAAAATCAGAGAGACAGATTGAGATTAAGACGAAGCCGCAAGAAGGTTGAAATGAAATGAGCTTCGGTTTTTCGCATGTTGATTTTTTCTGTTTTCATTTTTCCGTTCATTTTTTATTTTATGGAGATATGGAAAGGGTTGATGCTCAAAGAAAACGCTACCTGATGCCCTGTGTCTTGGTGTTATTATTAATTGAGTATATTTGTTTTGCTACCATTCATTTTTGTCGCGGTTGCATAGTTGAGTTGGACGATGGGCTTTAATTCTAGCCCATATGACTCCAACTTAGGGCCACACGCCCATGATCTATCTCCACCAGTTTTTGTTGGCCGCTTTTGTTTTTATATGGAGGTGATGGGCTTTTAAGCCCAGATGATCTTCATATATTTTCATACCACCATATTTATTCCAGCAAACCCCCCCCCCCCTTCTAATCACTCTCATTTTTCTTAGTTTCTTATCATTTGATTGATTTAGCATTTTAAGTTATTATTTTATTAGGGGTTCTCATTTAACATCTTGATTTAAGGTTTTGTTATTGGTTTTGTTAAAGCACTTCACTAGACATCGCGTTAAACTCAATATCTTTATGATTTATTTTTACCTTGATTTTCATCTTCGATTTTATTTATTTTTAATTTCAATCTCGGTCTATGAAAGTCAAAGATCATAGATTGTCGATTCATTGACTAATCTTGATTAGGATGAGACTAATTTCATTTCCATCTCCATTATCGAACTATCTTAGATCTTCTTCTACTACTTTAATTTTATAGGTCGATGACGAGACTTTCAAAAATCATTACTAGTCAAATTATTGATAAATAGTGATAAATCCGAGACCAACTACTTTTTCGCTTCTCATTTTCTTCTCTATCTCGACTTTATTTCATTTTTCGATCTATGAAGTCTTTCGATTCACGAACGTTAGTTTTCGAAGTTGTTAACCTTCATTATTTCAAATCTGTAGAAAATGATCATTTGGATCATTTTTCTATACTTTGGGATCGTGAGAGGTTACCCTCAATTAATTAACACAAATTTGTGATTAAGACGAGATCCCACTCTTTTTGGTATGTGCGACACGATTAAATTGGAGAATGATTCTCAATATCATTTCTCTATCTTGTTTTTAGCACGGATATCCATTTACGTGACCTCCTATAGTTCGACTTTCGTCATAAGTCGAGTTACGACGGTTTAACGCAACATTTCGTCCCGATTCAATTCACAAATCAACTAACGACTAATTTTACTTTCCATCAATATACAACTATTTTATTTTCAGTCAAATATACATTGTTTTACTTTCAATCAATATTATCTTGTTCATATACTTGTTGATATTTATCTCGATTATATTATTGTGAATATTATCTCGATTATATTGTTGTATATCTTGTCATATTATACATATTCATATTGTTCATCT